GCCACAATGCCATACACCATCAGCTTTATAAACAAATTCAAATTTCTCAAAACCAACAAGAACACTCGTATATGTAAATTACAACGGGCTCTCGTAAATAAATGACTCCTGTATGTGTCAGTTTACGCGCACAACATTGAAAGTGACATCATCATCATCGTAACAAAAATGCCGAAGCGCCATGAACTATAAATTATATTCATGTAATAATTCAAATGCTTCTCGTTACAAACTAACAACTTATTACACCATAAATCAATGGTGACGATTCGATGGCTCTGGATGTCGTTGGACATAGACATAAAATTGTAACAAGTTTCAATTGCTTTATTCGTTTATTATTGACACACATTGATGGCCTGTCTCATAGCACTGACCCCGATATTAGAGTTGGATCTGTTTTGGTTATGGGTGTAATATTTGTAGATGCACGTAATTGTTTAATTGTTTATGTATAAACATTAATTAAGCAGACATCTCTTGCATAGCAAGTGTGATAGTTGGATCATTGATGTCAAAGTTAAGCTCCTTTTTTATTATTTCTATATAATTACAACCTTCCTGGTAAGGCATTCAGTAATCTTTGTGACAAATGTGTAAATATAAGATTTTAAAATGCCACCCAGAGGTAGTCATTTTAGGTTTCAAAATGGAAAAGATAAAATTATAGAACAGTGATAATTACTTTACATCATATGTTATTTACCAAATCTGAAAGGTTAGTCTATTCGAGTCTCTTGGGTATATTTTATGAGAGCAAGTCTTTGGCGAGTTGATTGATCTTCTAGTCTGGTTTTGTACTTAGATGCATGTGTTCTGATTCCTCCTAATGCATGTCTTCTAATTTCTTCTGCCACCGTGAACATATTGGAGTCCTGGTGGTTCAGCCAATTTAGGACATATTTGGGCACCTCTAGAATTGTTTTAATAATTTTATTTTGTGACTTTTGCAAAAATTTTATATTGGTTTGGCTAGCGGTATCCCAAAGCAAAATGCTGTAGGTCCATATTGACTATTTCATATACTTGTATCTTATTGTAAGTAAAAGTTAAGCATCTTTATTATTTTCTTAGAAAATGGAGATCGTTGAAAAGAAATATCTTTAATTTATTGTACCAATTTGCAATGAAGGTAGTCGATCTCAGACAAATATAAATTTCGAAACGTCTGGCACATGTGCACATTTAAGTTCATGATATCATACCGAGGTAGACGTAATCGCTTAACAAATTAAAATGTTGAATTTGAATTGAAGCACAACGATTTAATAAATGTCTGTGGGCGTGTAATTGCTTCGTCAACACAAAAGGGAATGCGAATGATATTTTTTATTGCATTAATCTGTTATCTAATGCTGCACAGATTAGAGAAGCAACTATTATGCATTTAAGCTCTGATTGTTACATATCTAATTGTAAATCTCAACTATATGTAATTATAATTTATTGCTATACGTAATTCATTTTTATGCGTAGTGTTGCTTAATCGTTCTTGAAGAATTATTTATTAAATTAGTCAAAGATTAATAGGTGAGATAGGAGAATAGGACACTGAGTACGGTGGTGATTGTCATCATGCCAGCTAAACTATACTGATTTTGACATAGGGTCCAAAGGGTAAAAAATGAAGTATACGTTCCTATTATTGCATTTAGTCTTTGCCCTACAATATGCAGATCTCATTACTTTTAAAGTACTTTACTGAAGTAAGCTACTAAGTACTTTATTAAATTATATGTTGGTATTAACTTATGGTTTCCATTAAGTTTTGTTGTTTCTATTCGATGCACTATTATCAAAATTAAAATTCCGATAAATTTATTTTAGTAATTTATTCATCTAATAACAAATTGTTAAGGTCAAAGTGCCAAGACTATATTAATAATATAAGCATAATAAATATATTTATTTGCATGAATCATAAATCACTATTTATGTGCAAAATATTTGAGGTCAGAAATATGTTGTCTTTGGTAATAAAACTATTTTGATATTTATGTTATCAGAAATAAGAAAAATAATAACAAGGCTTTTCAGCTCGAAATCAATATATGAATCATACCATATCTAATTTAATTATTTTCAGTGATATTATTTTTTAACTTAATTTTATAAAAAAAAATTCGTTTGGATCAATGGTCAAAAATTCAATGTAGGTAGTTAGAATTGTTTTTATAATGTCATATATTATTTCACATAAAATAATTTAACTAAAGCGAAATTTTTTGGAAAATTTTGAGTTTAGTATATTTTTTTTTTTGACCAAACAATAAATACTTTGTTTATAATTACTTGTTCATAATATGAGCCTTATACCAATTCAACGTTCTTTAGTAATATTTAATTTAAAATAAATTAAAATGAAGTAAGTTAAATAAATTTGCAAACGTTTCTTTATTTTCTTTGCTCATGGTCAAAGATCCAATTTAGTTTTTTTTTCAATCTTTATTTAAATATATTAAGAAAATATACTGGTTATTGATTTTTGGTCCTAAATATGCGAGATAAGTCGACAATTTTCAGTGCATTATAATTTTTGCTGACCAAAATGATCTAATGTAATTTTGTAATTAGATCATTTCTTTATCGAGTTCATTACCATATTTGTAGCACATTTCATCTTCCTTTTCAGTAATAGTTTTTTATCTTAATTTTGCAACAGTTTCTTTGTTTTCCCATTGATGAAAGATTTCGCATAGTGTGTCAAAATATTTGAATTTTGTTTATAAAACTCATAAGATTATTTACAATTCGAAGAACGCTAACATTTCAATTTAACGGCGATTACTCAACATTATATCATCATACTTTGTGTGATAGAATTTTTGTTTATTATTTTTTTAATTAGCGAAGTGATCATTTAGTTTAGGCAGAGTGTGTTCTTTCGTAATGTGGCAATATCAATTAATTTTGTATTGTGTTAAATAAAATAAACACGATTATTTTATAATAGAGTTTGCCGTTGAAAATGGAACAAGTGTACGCTAAATGTTTTAATTATTCTTTGAATCTAAATAAATACGTGGAATGCGTAGCGTGAAGGATTTGTGCATAAACCTTTATTTAGGTCAAAACTAAATACTTGAACAAATATACTTACTTAGTCAACAGATAAGAATTTAACATAGTTGATTCTTTGTTTTGTTGCAGAAGTGCAACAATCCAAAATTAATATTTATATTAATATATTTTTATTTAAAATTATACAAACAATCAAGGTAACAAAAATAAAATTGAAGCAAAGAGCAAATTTGCGAGGAATTGCTCCAATGAGCAATTGACTATGGAATACATTTTTTACATCAAGTACTTAGGCAGTTTTTGTTAGACGGAATATCTAGGAGTTTTTCTACTTCTACTATGCCCAGCCCAGTAGTCCTAGTCATTTCTGATCCACTTTTAATAATTTAATAATTGAGTTTCTTGATAATTTAAAAATTGAAGACATGCTTTTTGCCTACTAACTCTTCAATATAATTCATATACCAGTAATTTAATGTTATAGATGGTTGCAAAATGGGCACACAAAAAATTATAATGATATTTAAATGAGGTGATTTATTTAGTTTGACGATAGTATTAAAGATTTCTGAATTATTACCCAAGGACGAGCATTGATCCCATTAAAATCCATCACATCATACATCAAAATTCAAGTCGTCTCAAAAGAAACATAATTTTGACATGTATAACACAGAAATCGACAAAATTCCGATCGGCGCGTTAATTTTAATTTTCAGTTGACGAAATGGTCGTAAAGTTTTCTACTCAATGGAATTCGAAGTGTTTTTAATATCCCACAAAGAAACTGAATGATTACAAAGAGAGCATGTGATATGAATACAAATGTGTCATTATTTTTAAGTAACGCCTTATGTAACGTTTCTATGATGTAAAATTACATGTATTAGCGAAACGTTACTTCAAAGGAACAATAGGAAAAGATGGACTTTTAGTGATAATGTTCAAGGATGGATGACACAGATATTGCTCGGTGCTTTCTTTTGAGTATTCTAATTTTTAGGTAGTTAAAATATTCAAACTATTTGAAGTTCGCGAAAATTTTAACAGCGAGCCTGGGAGAAAGTTGTAAATTGCTCCTGCAATGATGTTATATCATGATGATCACTTTGTTTTTCCTTATAATGTATTCATTTTTGGGAATCCTTGAAAAAGTTCTGTTTTTTAGTTGCCTGAGATCCATAATAGTACTGAAAGATAAAGTAAATATACCTACTTCCAAAAATGCAGTATAGATCGGTGAATTTAGGCATAACTTTATAAGGATCAGAAACTTGGACTCTGTTGAGGACTAAGTCCATGTGGATGATAAACAATCAATCTGTAAAGTACGGTGTTAGTGTATTCCTAATTACATTATTATCCTTTATATCAATTTTGTTTGAATATTTATTAAAAACTCAGATGTTCTTTATGGATCCTCTAATAATGATTCCAGCAGCTAGTTTTTTATGATAGTTTTTCTTCTACCAATATTATGTTACTGTTTATCTCTGAGCTTGTAACATAATTATATGTATCTAGTATATGTGTTTTATTTTTATTACATTTATATACATTTTTTAAATGACTCATGCTGTACTACGATTTTTTGGATCAAATTTTTGGGTTTAATTACCGTAACAAATGTTATTACATCATTGCATGTTGGATATATGACTTGCAAGTTTTATATAATAATAAAAGGGTTTTGTATGTAAAATATAAATAGTAGAGAAATATTTTTTTTCAATTATTTATTTTGCTAACTAAGAGACTTTTATCTACTAGTCATACCAAAATAAAATACTGTGTTTTTTAAAATTGTGCGTATACTTCGAAAAAAATGGTCCAGTGCTATTAAGAACCAATTATAATAATTAATAAAATAAATATTTTTTGCTATAAACTTTAATTTGTATTCGGGAATAACGCAAGCAATTTTTTTTAATATTTTAGACCGTTTTTTACGACAGAAAACTTATAATTCATATAGACATATGTGTAAGGTAAACTTCAAAGTTTTAAGAAATCTTTCTGTATATTATTACTAAATGCATTTTTTCATTAATACTACGTATATTTCTTCAAAGTTGCTATTATCTAAGATTATTTGTTTGAACTGTTCAAATCATAAGTTTAAATAAATTATAATATTTCTTAACCAAATACTATTGAATTTGTTTTAAATAATAATCAGAAGAAGTATTTGTTCAATTTTTTTTAGTGATATAGGAGTTATGACATCAAATTCTAACTATGTGTTATTAATTTATGATTATTCATAACTAAGAAGTATATAATTATGTCGAATATATATTTGGTTTATATTTTTTGTTATTAATTAATTAGCGAAACGTGAAAAACTACAGTGGCCTACATCTTAAGAAACGCGAATATTAATCACTTTGGCGATAACCTAGTAAACTCTTACAATATAATGTTCTTATTTGTATGAAAATGTTAAAAATAGAATATGACTGATAAAAGAAAGTATTTGGATACATTCGACTAATTAATTTATTTTCAAACGTTCTCAAGAAAAAAAATAGGATGGAAGGAATTGACATGTTAAAAGTGTAGTTCAAGTTAATCATATGTTCTGAAAGCATAGTTTTGAATTGATTTAGGTTTCTAGACTTATATATATATATATATATATATATATATATATGTTGACTAACCCTCTTGTATATAAATTGGGAGCTTTCACCAATGTGATTTTTTTTCTGTTTTTTTTTTTTTTTTTGATTACCAAGTACCAATGTATTCAGTTTTTCAATTGATTTTACATTATATTTCATACCTTTGACTAAACTACTGATCATAATTTTGTTTCTAATAGATTGTTTTAATTTTTTTCTACTGGAATATATCTTTTTTATTTTAATTTTCATCCACATTATATTAAATTTATATACATACATGTTCATTATTTTTCTATTAATTATATTTATTTATCTGATGATTTTTATATACCTCATAATGTCTTTTAAACAAAGAATTTTTTGCATATTTTTTTTCCTCATAAAAGCTGTCTAGACATAATATAACCTCTGTCATTATATACATTAATTTTTTCAAGCATTAGCGAATACCGGATAAATCTTAAAAAAATGTTTGTTCAATCTTAAATCAATATTACTGAATATTTGCGCATAATGCAATCAGTGTTTTAAAAGAATACAAAGTTGAGTCTTTTATTGACCTCCAAAACTCTCCAGAATAAAAAATAAGAAAATAGCAAGAAAAAATAAATTCAACAAAAATATATTGATTTATATAAAATTTACTTTTGTTTAAGAATAATTTTATTTATTTAATTTATTTTAAAAACTCCCAGCTTATCAGTGTTTTGTATCATAAGACTGTTGCAGTTTTAATTGACCAAAAAAAAAATGTACCTCAAAATTAGATTATGGACAAGAGATCTTTAATTATTTTTATTTAATTTTTTTTCAGATGTTGACGAAAGTAGGGCTGCTGCTGGCAGTGGTTCTGCTGCAAGTATCTTTATCTATGGCTGTCAGAGACTATATTGGTCTTCCTGCTGGACCATATTGTGCGTCCAGGTATTCTGGATGCTGCCCTGGACGACAGGATGACTGTAGTGCTCCAATCATAGGTAAATAGATAATAATTGAATATTGGTTTTTGTCAGAAATTTTGTAAAAATTTAAGTTGTGGTTCTTTTTGGATCATATTGTGCGTCCAGGTATTCAGGATGCTGCCCTGGACGACAGGACGACTGTAGTGCAAAACAACTTGAAATTGTATTATTTTACCGAATCTTGCCAAAATCTCGGATAATTACAAATCGTAAATCAAACTAAATCAATTAATTCCAGTTGGTTTCTGTTATCTAAATAATCAGCACAAGACAAGAATGCACGCGGAATGATCGGCGTCACTTAAATCAACAGAATCGACGTCATAACTTGAAATAACATCATCGCTCGATACGAAGATTAAGTCATACCTTTCGAAATGCAAACAACAAAAATCATAATACAATTTCAATGTTATTTTATGTAATACTGCATTCGATCTGGTTCTCAATATTGTTTTCCTAATGCGAAAAATATGCGAGCAATCGCCAACGCTGTCGCTGTCGGCAAATATGTCAAAGTTAAAGTTAGAACCATGAATCAGTTCAAAGAATGAATGACTTTAAAATTCTTTAGTTTTAGTTTTATAGTTTGTTTAAAATGCCAGGCTTAGATTTGCAATTTAACAACATTGAGTGGGTTTATCGCGAAACATTTGCACACGTAACGTTTTGCAATTTACGAAAATTTTCCTGGGTTCTCTGAAGAGATAATATAAGGTGAATTTGTCACCTGCATTTTCTTTATTGGTAAGGTTAACAAACTCAGATCAGATCAAACACTAATTAATTGTTTTCATGAAAATGAAGATCAGTGTTTTTGCAGTTTTGAACTTTTTTAAGAATTATTAATCAACTATTAATCAGTTTATCAATTTTTTTGTTGTGTGCCCAGTTAATGACATCTAGTAAATTTTTTGATGTGCAATTGTAAGCTGTAATAGGGACATTGTATACTATAGTGACAACTCAATAGTTGTTTTTCCATTCGTTATAAATAATATTAACAATATTTTAATAAAACTTAATTATTATTTCTAAGAAGATAGTTATAATTAAGTTATTTCAATCTTCATCAGGAAAATTGATGACTTAAATCAAGTGGCGAATTTCTCTTGAGCCTACGACGATAGTTGTTATTTTAAGTATAAATTTTGTTTTCGAGTTTGTATTTTTTTTCTTTTTATTAATTACAATCTTTTTTTTACACAATGAGAAATAAAAATAATTTTGGGGGTAAATAAGCATTGAATTTGTAATTGTAACTGATTTTTAACTTCGTGAAGGAGAAGTTTGTTTTTACCTTATCGTATGATAATCATAATCATAGTCATTCCCTCTCCAAATAATCAGAAAAAATATATATATTTATTATTAATCTAAAATGATATCGCAATCATATGAAATACAGACTAGTTATATTTTTTGACAAATTATGTGTCTGAAGAAAAAAAAAGATTGATGTTCTCCTTTTTTTTAAATAGTAAAAATCGGAATTTGGGGATCATAGTAGTTTATACTAAACATAAATCTATAAAGAATACTGTATAAAAATTTTAAGCATACCAGTTCAGTAGCTGTTGAGAAATCGTGGGTATCGTGTCGAAAAAGACATTTTGGTCAAACCAAAATTTTGAAAAATTCTCTTATTATTGAATGGTTAAACTTAGTTAAAATATATTAATAATAAATGGTAGACTATCCAAAGGCAGGTTCATAGTGTGAGAGCCACCACAAGAAAATGATATCCTTACACTTCGTCGTGTATCATTCCCATTACCACTATCCCCCTCCCCCTATTACATTTTTTTTAATGTATTTTTGTTCGGACGCATTTTCATTTTATTATATTGGTCATGAAGGTGACAATCTTCATGGCATTGAGCTTTACACGGAATGGTTGCTATCCCTGGTAGAGGTGGTAGCAGAATGTTTTAATGGAACTAATTGTTTACTTCTTAAAGTAAACAATTAAAAAGTAAAATAAATAATAAATAAATATATCTTCTTTCATTTTAACTTAGTGACAAATTAGTGATTGTAATAAGAACTGCAACAAATACATAATATACAAACAAATCAGTGTTTAATACAGTCTACAGCTACAAGGATTAAATTATAAACCAACAGCCTGAGTTTTTGATGGAGAGTTTTAATAAATTTCATAACTAAGTAACATAAATACAATTTTTCTTTCAAAACTTTTGCTTCCATGCTTCCTGATCCTGATCTTCGGCTTTCAATATTCATTTTCTCTCCTTGCGTAAATCGTCAAACATCTGCATTCTTCTTCTTCCCATTCCTTGGAGTCCTTCTATTTTACCCTAGACGACGTCGTGTAGGAGGCACTTGTTTTGAAAAACGGATCCAATCCAGTTGCCTTTTCTCATCAGTAAAATCCTTTCTTCGCCAACTCTTCTTAGGACTTTTTTAATTGTTATCTTTGAAAATACAAAAAAAAAATCAAAATCCTTTTGTTATGAATCCTAGAGTCCCTTAACGTAAATAGCTAAACTGTGGTATGCAGTTATCCATGATGACTTACTCATGTTTTGCACACGAAAATATCTTCAACAAAGCTTTTTATTTCCTTGTTACAGCTTCAAATTCTTGATCAAATATTCATCACAACCTAATTTTAATTTTGGCATAAATCATGTTTAATAACACAGAACATATTTGAATATCCTAATTCAAAAATAAAGATATTACTAAACCTACTTATTATGTTCATGGCACATATTTCGAATGCGGACTTATAAAATATACATAAATAATTCTATTTCGATTGTAGCTTGCGCCTGGCGATAATTGATACATAGTCCAATAAATAATGACGCACATATATCAATTTTCAATCGATACAAATATTTGAAACGATAAATTTATTAAAAATTGTTACGTCATTGATGTATTTTTGACCGAACCAGACTAGTAGAGGTTGCGTAACTGCATTGACGGAAATCTGAAGATGTTAAATAGCTATTAATGAGGAATTCCGGTTCCCAAATGGTATTAATTATTATTCGTTAATGAAGTGCCTGATATAATGATGTCGGATAGAAGTTTATGATATTGGTTTCGCTAATTTTTTTGAAGTTTTGACTGCGGATGACCATGGATTTGCTGGTTTTATGGTAAATGATTGATCAAATCTGTAGCGGTAAAGATTTTATGTAGAGGTTGTCTGAATAATGTTTGGATTTCAACAAATATGTTTAATTTTTTCTATTCATTTTGTTTTAACTTACCTGTGATTTTTATTTATAGGTACATTATGCTATTGCGATGACTTTTGCAATAGGACGAGAGCAGAAGACTGCTGTCCTGATTTCTGGTCGTTCTGCAAAAACGAACCATCACCAATCACCCAATTATCTTGCCATGCCAATGGTAGAGAATATTTTTCTGGTACATCATACCAGGATAACTGTAATAAATGGTGAGTTGATTTTGTAATAATATTATTGATTTAATTATTAATTGTGAATAAATATTGGATATATAAAAATTTGACCTACGAATATTTGTCTGATAGTTGTGCAAACTTCTGCATACAGATTTTGAAGTTTTTTACAATTATGCATTGGTCTTTATTTGTATTATGGGTATACATCTATTATTGTTAACATATATCAAGAAGGAAAGGTCTCACATCAATCAAATTTAATCATTATGAAATATTACGAATTATTTTAATCTAAAATATTTCTTATTAACTAAAGTTGAGAATTTTTGCATATCTTTACGTTTCAAAGGTTTCTGAACATTTTGGCATACCTTAGAAAAAATTGATGTATGTATGTGTGTTTATGTTTGTATACAAATTTTCCTCCACGATTTCGGCTGCATGGATTAATCGATTTGAATGATTCGAAAAACATTCGATTTCTACAGATGGGGAAACGTGCTGATCGGTTTTTGATGAAGATGTTTGAAAAAGTGCATTAATTGGTCATTCAGTTTTTGGGCTAACGGAGCGTCCGATTTGAATGATTCAAAAACCATTTTTGAATTATTTAGTATTGACAAAATGAAATATTAGTTAAATTTTTAGGTAGGCAGGTTTAGTTATTTATATATAATTATATAAAATGAAATCAGTATAAATCAAAATAGCACACAAAGCTTGAAGAATTCTTTACATATTTTCAAGAAGCTTGAAGAATTCCTTACGATTTGTATGATGAGAGATCTAACTATACAAGCTGTCTAAATTCAACTTTGTTTGGATTATCATTCTTCAAATTTTTATTTTATATTTATCATCTGATATCGTGGAGTGTCTATGTCCATTTTCAAGATCAAAAATGTGTTTCCAATTGAAAATATCCCATTTTGGGCACTGCGGTGTGACATAGCAGTAGGAAATCTCTCACACTATTTTTTCCTGAATTGATTTGTAGTTTAACTCAGATCATGGACCTGCCCTAGGGCAGAAGTACCCAATAATAATCTTTGTTTTGATTTTCATTCTTGAACCCACGCTCTGGACAACCTGATATCGTGGAGTGGCAATGTCCATTTTCAAGATCAAAAATATGTTTCCAATTGAAAATATCCCAATTCGGGCACTGCGGTGTGAAATGGCAATAGGTACTCTCTTACACTATTTTTTCCTGAATCGAGGTGGATTTTACCTCAGCTCATGGACCTGCCATAGGACAGTACTACCCAATAATAATTTATTATTTCTGTTTGAAAACAAAGATGTGACTAAGATTTTTTAAAATCTATTCGACAGCTTTTTTGAACTTTGCCTTTGATTAAGTAGAATAACTACTATCAGGTTTAGTTAAGGGGTATTAAAAATAACCAATGTGGTTTCTAATATTGAAAATATGAAAGCTTTTTTTATATAGTAAAGCAATTTTGTTCAGAGATTTGGTGTTAAAATCTAAAGTTGTCTAGATAAATTCTAAAGTTAGTAAACATCATTTACTCGAAAATTGTTGGTGCCCATAGGTGATTTAAAGTTTAACAAGTTCTATAAAGTGGAGGTATTAAATCTATGTATATTCCTTGAGCGATATAAAATCATTTTGTTACATTAAACGAACAGTGACTTAAATATTATTTTAGAATTGAGCAGCATCTAAAAATTCTTCATAACAAAACGGCATTTAAAACTTTACGATGTTTTACTTACAATCGTTAAAATTTCTTTTACACCTTCTTAAAATATTTTAAGGCTGCAAAATGTACTCAAAGTATATTTCGTACCTCGTTTTTTATGTATTTATTGTACGTACTTGTAAATTTGCATTTAACGACTTCTTTCAACTTTTGTGTCTACACCGCAACCTTGCCAAAATTCGGACAGCCTGTCAAAACATTTTTGACAAATAAATAAATAAAGCAGCAAAATAACTATTTTGAGAACATCGATAAAGCATTTTACGTCATTTTATGTGTTACTTATACGAATATTTTAAACATTGGTCGAAATGCATTCGACATGTACAGAGTTGCTAATTGATGGCTAAAAATACAATTGCTCCAGAATGCAATACGAGATCTCGGCCATACAAAATCGCACAATTGGCTTGACGCTTTCTTAAACACAAATTCAATTTAAATTCAGAAACAGCAAATAAAGAATTATGCAAATTCATATTCAGTGTCAGGCATGAGATAATTGTTTTAAATGGTTATATGGAACTGTTGACTTTGCTCGTGAGCTCTTACAGAACCAGCAAAAATTATGCAGAGCGGTAGTAAAAATATTTTAACAAAATATTTTTTTAAATAAATATTACTGATTACCATATAATAACAATACCAGAAATGTGCAAGAAAAACTCATTCAGTTGTGGTAGAAATGGAGTTGAAGTTCGTTTCATAATGTGCATTAATGTTTAAAAACTAATCAGCACGTCTTCCCATCAGTGGAAAACGAATGTTTTTTGAATCATTCGAATCGGTTAATCCATGCACCCGAAATCGTGGAAGAAACTGTATCCAAACATACATACACACAAGAGATGGGTAACTCACTCCGGAGTTATCACTTCGATACAACTCCTCCCTCAGAGTGAATCCGAGTGGTGTTGTCTCACAGGATTTGTCATATCCGACTTCCCTAAACTGATACTAAATCTGTTAACATGTGCAGATATTTGCTTGAGATTTTTTACTAATACTAAGATTAGGGTCGAAAGAAGTGGTTTTTTATCGTCTCACAGGCAGCTTTTAGGACTTTCCAAGTATATAATGTCTCTAAATAATGCTATTTTGTATTTTATATTCTGTATACCATAATGTTTGTCCGTAAATGAGCTCTTTCAAATAGTATACAATTAGCTAAAAAATATTTAGTATATATTATAACTTTTACACAATTATGATTTTATAATGGTGTAAAAGTAAGAGTATGTTAATCAAACTACTGATGTATAATTAATTCTCGAAAAGGAAATGATAAAAGAATGTGAGGTACTATTATTTTGTGAAAAATATTATACACAAAGATTTGTTCTTATTTCATATATAAGGTTCACTGCATTATTTTCATATAAAAATAAACATATTCAAAGAATTCTATATTTTCTCTTCAAAAATAATTACAAAATTGATTTTGATTTCCAAGTTTTTTGTCAATTTGAGATTTGTATGCATATTGAAATGCATAAAATAGTAATTAATATATTAAAATGAACTAAAATGTTTGAACTATTTGTAAACTATTTCCAAAGTTTTATTAAATCCTTAGATATGTTAACAACGTACTAGAGAACACATTTGTGTCAAGTATGATATTTCAAGTTGTCGGAGTTGTGGAGTTGTTAAGTGGATATAACTCCTTTCTGAAGCGGAGTCAAATCCTAACCGATCCGGCTTCGGATATGATAAGCCTATCTCTAATACACACACACATACATCCATTTTTTCTAAGGCATGCCAAAATGTTCAGAAACCTTTGAAACGTAAAGATATGCAAGAAAAATTTTTTTGATTTTTTGCGATTACTATAACTTTGATGATTAAAATAGTTCATTTTTATTATTTGCACACCTTGCTTGAAAATTCAAAAACAGTCCTTTAGTATGGATTTCTCGATTCAAAGTCGAGATTTTCTATCATGGCCATTGGCCATTGTACGAGTTCTGATTCGCTTCATTACTTGCGAACAGTATGTGGTATATACCGTAATATATTACTTGTTATAGAGGATTACCGTAATAATTCAATCAGAAAATCTTATTTAGCCGTAAACCTTATAAGACCTTATTGCAACGCAATGGGAGATGATTTATGCGCTCATTGTAATCAGTCTATAATATTATGGTAATTTGGCTGCGATGAGATTACAGGATTAAGGGACGAACTAAAATATGGTACTACATCACTTTAGATAATATAATAGAAGGATAAATACGAGATGCATGCCAAGACGCTTATAAGGTTCTTATAATAAAATTTACTACATAAGGAATAGCAAACACCAAGATGAGTTACCTACTAACTGAGGTTGCAACAAGGTTCCGGGTTCATAACACGAGTTGCTTCCATCCTGAGCAATAATATCGAGTTTTACTCAAACATATATATCTAAAATAAGTCTGCAGAAGTAGTTCATTGAATATTATAGAACCTATACACTGAACTTCCACAATTTCACTTAAACTCACAAGGAGAACCTTAGGTTTATTTGTCTCGGAATTTGATGAAACTTACCATGGTGATAGAGTGGATAGTTCAAACAAACCTCTTAAAATATTAGAGTCTTATGCCAATTGGCTGCTGCCAATATAAAAAAATCGATTACTACTATTTATCATTACATCTGATACTAAATATGATTTCTAAGGAGTACTGCAGATTATGTACTAGAGCAGTATATTAACTTAGATTCTGTAAATCAAAGTCTTATCTATCTCTAACTCTGCAAAGTAATTAATTTTTATTATTTTTTATAATATCAGCATATCTCATTTTGCCAGAAATCTTATATTATCTTTATTACCTACAATGAAATATGATTTATGTGTTCATTGTGATCAACCTATAATATTACAGTAATTCAAGACGATAAGATTAAGGGCTAATAACAATTCAAAATTCAGGATTAGATTTCCTTGCTTAATTTCATAGATTAAACAGGTGATGAACTAGAAAATTTATTGATATTAGTGCAAAATATAGTTGAAAATTTTGATTTGCCTCATTATCGCCATCATTCCATAACGAATTACTCAGAAAAGTGTCTTCATGAATCTATAACGAATTACCAAGAAAAATTATTTGACTTTATTACTTGCAATGAATATGATTTATGTGTCCATTGAAATCAATTTATAATATTACAGTAAATTGATGGCTATAATTTAAAATGTGAGATTATTGATTATGGATTACATCAGAGCAGAGAAAATTACTATGATTTCTTCAGATGAAAGAACTATGATTTCTTTATATAACAAACCCAATATTACGACAGTAATTATAAAACCAATAATACTGTGGAATGTGGAATCTTTTTAGTTTGTAATATTTTTTCAAATAATATGATTTTTTTTTATTTTCTGGGTCAAAGAACAAAAAACGTATATATAAATATAAATGCAATTTTCTTCCTATATGTATACTTTTATGCCTTTCACTCTTTGCAACTCGTACTATAAATTGTCTTTGTAAAATGATAGAAGTTTTGATGAAATGCCACATGCGAGTTTCATATTTCAGTTTTTGAAACGTGTAGGGGTCCTCAGTTTTTGAAACGTAGGGGTCTTCAGACGTGGTCAGGTTGGCCGAGCGGTCTAAGGCGCCAGATTTAAGCTCTGGTTCCCAATTGGGAGCGTGGGTTCGAACCCCACATCTGACAAAATATTTTTTTTGTATTGTAAATTTTTATAAAATTTTAATTTTCTTAAAGCATCATATAATAATTAAAGTTTTTAAGAAACTTCTATATATTGCAATTCAAAAACATAATATTGATGATAACAGAAAAAAAATTAAAATATCCATATGCTTGTATGATTTTCATATATTGATATTTAGGTAATAAATATGGTATTTAATTCTATTTTTGCCATACTGGCAAAATTTATGAAAAGTTCTAAACAGCTATTTGTGATTTCGAGACGATTTTGTCTTTAACTATTATAAAATAAGGATTGTGGGTTAAGTGAAGTTTTAACGCAATATGCAACAGCAAAAACATATTTATAATCTGTAATAATTATTATACTTTTTAGCGAATTTGTGAGATATGATTTTATTCTTCGAAATTATTTGATTTACCTGTTTTCTTCAACATTTTCAACAAGGATTTAAGTATAGACGAATATTTGAATTTTGATGTATGTTTTTTTTATGATATGGTTCATATAGTATATCAATAATTATTGCATTATAATATATAATGTTGAAAAGTATAATCATTTTTCATACCCATAACGGTCTAAAATAACTTGTAAAAACATATTTTAGTTTTATAGTCTGTTGCATGATGTTAAACTTAGCAATTTTAATGCGAAAATGCAATTGCCTTTCGTAGATTAATGACCAACTGAGATGTCTGGCTATTTATGTTCAGAAATATTAAACTTTAGTGCTATAAATTTTAATTATTCGATGGAACTGAATAATAATAAATAAATACTGAAATTAATCAAAACGATGCTATTAGAATCGACTTAACAAAATTTATGTTTGTAAAATAATTTATTGTATCAATTTTTTTTCAGTACTTGTACTGTGAATGGACCCATTGCCGAATTTATGTGCGAACAACACATTTGTTTGCTTGATGAAAACATGATCGATGGAATCAATATGGACAGCCGTCATTTAGGATGGACTGGTGTCAATTATACTAAATTCTGGGGTCGTAAATTGGAAGAAGGTCTAAATCTCAGGACAGGTAATAACTTTAAGGATGTAATGTTGCGACATATGTGTTATTATTTTTCAATATGTAAGTCATCAAATAATAGGTTGTCAAATATCTCCCTTCCGCCTTTTTGTATCATAAACCAAGAGCAAAAAAGCGGAAGGGAGATATTTGACAACCTAATATTATTATTATACGTATATTTCGTAGAAATAATTATTGAATTGTATCAAAAAAGTATAATATAGGGCTGTTGCAAAGTATATTGAAATCTAGAAGAAACTATAAAGAGCGCTTGGAAACATGTAACCTGAACTTACATGAAAAGGATCAAATATAAATCTGCTCTAAAATTATATGACTTCAGAAAGAAGTTTGATGTTAACAAAATTTTGTCTATAGAAATTCTCAATTTTTCTTACTTATATTTTATATTATTTTTGTATCATTTCCTTCTTTCAGGAACATTACTCCCCGAAAGATCAGTAATGCGTATGAAGCCTATTCGCAAGATCTACGATCCAAATTCACTGCCCAGATCTTTCAGCACAATTGATCATTTCGGTAACTACATCGGTCCAGTTGTCGACCAAGGCTGGTGTGGATCATCTTGGGCAGTATCCACTGTCAATGTTGCTGCTGACAGGTTGGCAATTTTGTCTAAAGGCAGAGAAACTGTTCGATTGAGTGCCCAGAATCTTCTGGCCTGTAATAAGAGGCATCAGAAAGGATGCAGAGGTGGTCATTTGGATGTTGTTTGGCAGTATTTGAGGAAGAATGGGTAAGTGGAATGAAACACTAGATTTATTATTTTTGTATAATGTTTTATGGACGCTATGTATGAAATGTACAAATTTTGAGATTTTTGGACAATAACTTTGTCCAGATCTTTCTGTTGTTAGAATTACTCGGTTACTTCTAATTCGTGTTGTTTCTTAAAGTTCTACAATGTCTTGGTCCATCTTAATTTAAAATTCTGACATGATGAATGAAAGCATTTTGTCAATTTTCTATTACTATAAGTTCGATATTTTGTATTCAATATAAATTTATTGCTGAATCCATACCAAAAACTCCCCACTGTGCACTGTGTTGATGTAGATTTGATTTTTTGTGTAAATAAAAGCAGTTAAATTAAAGTTAAACAAAACATATAACATGTACGAATATATTTCTTTGAGTCTGGTTAAAATAAATATTTAATTTCTTTATTATATTTTATTTATAGACCCAATGAAATACATGTAACTATGATTATTTCGATCTGGTTATGCTAGTTCAAATATAGCTTCTAATCAAATGTACGATTTGTAATGTTGTTTAACAATAAACTAAAGTTAGAAGTGTTAAACAACATTTTTGACCTCATTAGATTTATATCCGCAACTACTGTACATTTATTATTGGAAGTATATAGATCTATTTATAAATTAATGCTATATGTTCTCCAGATATTGACCCATTATTATAATACATTTTACAAAATAGTTAAATGAAACGTGATCGAGAATTATAGATTTATAAACAGCAGTATGTATTTTGTTTAAAGAGTTAATTATTGATATAAATAATTGTTGTTTTGTACAAAAATCTTATTTAAGTGAAACGTGTGATGTATTAGAGTTCAGAAGGATTTTTTTTATTTGGTATAGTATTATAATTCATCAACTTACAAGCAACTTTTCAGTTTAAGTAAATATAATGCCTGAAATTGGTACCTACCTCTTTCTCATTTTTGCACTCCATAATGGCGTGTTCAGCATCCGCCCTAGTCACTCCACGACAAGATCTTTTAATGACTGATTGGTATACCTATTATTTTTAATTATATTTGTTGTTATTAGTTTTATTTATATTAGTTATTATTATATTCTATATTTTTATATTTATATTTATTATATTTTTTATCTGTTTACAGAGTCGTTGATGAAAAATGCTACCCATACGAAGCAAGTGACCGTGGATGCCGAGTCCACCGAGGTGATAATTTGCTTACTGCCCAATGCGATATTCCAGAAAAAGTGTTAAGGACTGAATTGTATTCCGTTGGCCCTGCATACCGCCTGCACAATGACACGGATGTCATGCATGAACTGATGGTCTCTGGACCAGTTCAAGGTAATTGACAATATTGTATAATTGTCGGCAACTTATGATAATTGGATACATAGGACACATATTGTTTCTGAAGAATATTGAAAGATGTTTATTAATTTTTATCGTTGATCTAGCATATCGAACTGGCACTAGTTAATTAATGAGAGAGCATTTACCAGTCCATAAATCCATAAATGTCATTAAAAAACTAACTAAGCTAAATTGTTGTAAGTTAATGCTTGTTACTACAAAGAGTGATTCACGAATTCTGGACCTGAATCAGAGGTCCCGGGTTCCATCTCGCTTTCTGTTGCGAAACAGTAATGATTTGGACATTTTTTAAGAATGACCAAAACTTTATAGATGTTCAGGATGAAATAGGTGCAATTAATAAAAAAGAAAAAACTTTAACATTCTGATTAAACAATATTCTATCTATTCAATTCTATTCATTCACTCACACCTCTAAACATACACATTGTCACTCCAAAGAGGGATTCAGCAATTCAGCAATTCAGCTCAGGTCTCCAAAGATGTTGAAATACCTTGAATAAAGTTTTTGGGTTTTTTGTCTTTAACTTTATTAAACATCATCATTATTTTTTATGTATTGGGTTAGCTCGTAAGTAAGTGGATAAAACGACTGGACTGATACTGCTGCATCAATAAATAATTGCCCTATTATAGAAATTGTAATAATAATTCATTAACCAGAGATAAGACAATTGCTATAAAACCGACTAGTATTAAGTACAGTATTAAATCAAATTAGCACAACTGCTTATAGGACTCTTTAAGTTCTGATTGTTGTTAAAAAAATAAAATAAAAAATGTTTATATTACTATTTTTATGATGAATTTTATCAATTTTTTTTTCTTCCAGCCACCATGAAAGTCTACCGAGACTTCTTCGCCTATGCTGGTGGTGTCTACAGGCATTCCTCTCACTCTGGTTCCCACGATTTCCGTTACCATTCGGTGAAGATCGTCGGCTGGGGCGAAGATACCTCTACTTATCCACCTGTTAAATACTGGGTAAGTTATTCTAAAAATTATAAATAGTTCAAGAATTTTTAAAGTTCTAATTCTGCTCAGATCAGGTGTTTTACCATAACCTAAACTTCACGTATAGAAAGTTTCCTTTAGGATAGCATTGCTATGTGACGTTTATGCGTTTTGTAGGTTAGATTTTATGTGTATAACGACTGATCCAGCAAACTACCAACTCATACGAATACAGACCCGTAACATATCATCTCAATAGCATTTCTATTTTATCCGAAAATTGGCCCCATGATTTTAATATTGATAATATTACTTGAACTCAATTAAAGTCTTAAGACAAAAAAGCAAAGAATTAAAAGTAAGAAAATGAATGTGATGAAACAAATTTCAAATTTATAATTATTTGATTCGTCAAAACTGGTTCATTATCTTTGTGATTTTACACAAATTCTAGCATCGCATGTTCTTCGCAAAATTTGTTAAAAAAAAATCTTGCCTAAAATTATCCTTCGTATTTTTTTTTTAAATGCAGTATGCAAACACATGTTATGACTAAATATACACCCAAAGCCCATTAAAAATTTTCATCTTGACCTAAAATGTTCGTGGTGAGAATTCAATACAATAAACGGGTCATAAAATAAGACCTGCGTCTTCTATTTTTAAATTCTGAATGTATTGCGTATGCTAAGTGGCTTATTATTTGGTTATAGTGACCACACAAGAAGGACAACCTTGATTAAAATTGGGACTTTGTTTCTTAATTATTACAGTATTTATAGAAATGATCTACTTAACATTGATGACATTGAATCGCTGGTATTTGTTTTGTTAGAAAAAATGTAAACACGCCGCCGGGAGAACAATTCTATTAATAAATGATAGTTTAAAAATATCTGTTATTAAAAGGTTGAAAGAAACTGAAATTAACTATCTTTAGTTTTCATGATACGAGAAGTCCTTTTCTTTAATATGTAATAAATGATAATAAATTGCATAGTTCATATTTTTAATTATAATATAGTTGCTACTAGATAATTCGTCGTAACTAAAATACCTAAAAAAAATTATAAGTTAATTTTTTTAGCGAATTTACGACTTTTAAATGGCAACAATGATTATATTATATTTCAGGCAATATCTAAAAAATGATACAATTGTATTAAAATTAAACACATGTTTATTAGTTAATTTACTGATGTCATGGTTCATTTACCTTATATTTTATTTAAGGTATGTGAAAAGATTCAAATCGAGTTTAAATAAGTTCTAATAGTCTATTTTTTTATTTATATGGCTATCAACCAGAGTTTATTGATAAAAAAGTGTCTTTTTAACTTCCCGAAGGAGAAGTTTCTTTTCATAAAAAAAATCCGATTCGCTAATTTTATGTTTTCTCGACGTTTCAAGCCATTCTGATTCGAATGAGACCAAATTTGGAAAATGTATGTGTGTGTGTGCGTGTGTGTGTGAACAGATTTTTTGCCATAAATCGACGTTTTCTCAAAAAGGGCTGGACCGATTTCAAAAATTTAAAAGCCATTCGATGTTTCTCGATGAGGACTATCGTTTGTCAGTTTTGTGCGACGATCTGCCAAACCGTTTCTTTGTAATTTGGAAAAAAGTGTTAAACTTTTCGTCCACATTAAAGCTCATTCTACCGAATCGATTTTAAAAAATCAAAAACTGTTCGAAAGATATTAGTTGGGAATGATACTGATTAGTTTTAGGTAAAAATCTACCGAGCCGTTTTCTTGTAATTACCTGTCGAAAAAAATTTAAGTCGATTTTCATGGAACTTTTTTTGGCCATATATAACATGATATTATAGAACTTACTGAAATATTACGGCCTTACGACAAGTAGTTTAATTTTAAAAATTTATCAAAGTTTGAAAAAATGAATAGTTTTTTTTGACGTTTGTTAAAATTAAAATTAGACGATTTGCTTGGTATAACGATAGTGTACTTGGTCTTAATGAACATACTAAACCATTAAAGTCCTACGGTAACTGGTTCAATTATAAAAATTGTTGATTTTTGAGATTTTGCTTATAGAAAATACTCCGAGTTAACGTGTTCGTTCGTTTTCAATAATGTGCAATAAATCCACTTACTTTAATCACTATTAATTAATTTATTTTTTATTGATTAAGTCGATTATTTATACATATCGGGAAGTTTATGTAACTTGTCTCAAGGCAAAATACCAATACCAACTAGTTGGGTACTTTACCCCGGTTCTCCGACCACTCATCTAGACATTTTTAGGTTCTCCCAAAATGTTGCTGATGGAATATTATGGTATAGGCACAGATATTATAACAAACATGTTTATTTTATAATATGGCAATTTTTTCTTCTTCAGACGGTGGCCAACAGTTGGGGCAAAGACTGGGGAGATGACGGTTTCTTCCGAATTGTCCGAGGAACGAACGAATGCGACATCGAATCCTTCATGTTGGCAGCATGGACAAGGCCAGCTGATCCAATTCGAGACTTCGATAACTAAATTAATCGATAATCATCGGATCTTATCGAAAAATTATTCTAACTTGCTGGCTTTAGCACATTTTATACCACTGTCACATGAAGTTGATCAGTTCTGTCAACCTCAAGGTAGTTTAGGAGAGGACCTTTTGGAGAACAATACAATAACATTGTGAGTACACATGGAAATTGTTGAATCCAATAGCAGGTTGGATGTGTTTTGCAACGAGGAGCAGTGGTTCTCAAAAGTTTTTGTTTTGAATATTTTTTTAGATTTATTGCATATTATGATATTAAAATGCATATGTATAATATACATTATATATATGTATATATATATATATATATATATATATATGTATATATACATTGTATATATATATATGTATTCGTATATGTATATGTATATGTATACGAAGACGTAAGAAATTTGAAAAATAACTTTGTTATTTTTACAAATTTTCAACTAAATTTTTACTATCAAATTACATTATTTTTGTGTCATTTATCATGCCAGCAAGTTATAAAAATTTTCATTAAATGTGTTATTATATAATTTTCTATTTTTTATGTAAATTTGTAAGATACTCATTGCCAGCTATTAAAGAATATGTTTTTAAAATGATGCCTGACGTTATAATAAAAACAGATTTTGATGTAGACGTTATTTCGATATAATCGAAAAATTAATGTTTTATTCAAATGTGCGTCATTTTTGTCATTGATTCCAATAATTAAGATTTTAGTAATTTGCATTAAGGGTATTTTTCATTAGATTTTATGTTTGAGTCATAGAACGTTTAGTTTAGTAGCTTTAAGTTTACTTTGTGTTCAAAATTTTAAAGATTTAATATAGTAGTTTTTTATTTATTTAGGAAATTCAAAATTTTATTAAATATATACTAACGCCCTTTAAACAGCCAAATTCAAAGTGCCTTTAAATCTATTTTAAAATGTTCCATTCACAAACCATATTTATATTTAATAAGTCTATTTAATATTAAGATGTATCTAAATAATATATTAGCACTGCCTCTCCGAAAGTTGTTCTAATAATTAAAAATTTTATTTTTTGTATAACAATATATTTTGTCAATTAGTTTATTATTAGTTATTTATTTCGACATAAAGTTATACCTCATATAATGCTCAAACCTGCTTAATATTGTATAGTAAAATGAATTTATACTTAAAATATAATGATGTTATACTATGTTCTATATAATCTTAAATATATTTATGTATTATAAATGTATTATATGTTTAGGGTTTAAGAAACTTTGGGTTGTTTGGTAAAGGTTGCATAATTATGGGTGTAAAGTTTCACTAGAGACCCCTGCGTTCTCATGATTGAAAAGTATCTTTCCTAGGACTATATATATATATATATATATATATATATATCATTTATACATACATATTTAATATTCTTGTATGTTATTCCCAAATTCTTTTTAAAAATATGCAAATCTAATGATACCTTGTCAATTTGATTTAATGTCTTTCTTTTTAAAGGTTTTTAATTTATTTATACTTTTTTATACATAAAATTATTTATAATTATTAAATGTATAAAACTTCAAATATTTTTAAAAATTCCATGCGAATGTCGCACGTACATCTAGTGTTCGGTATTTACATAATATTCAGTTAAGAAATCATTGACAGATCATTTGTGTGCCCTTATTATAGCTACAACACAGTTGCCAAAGTGTTTCCTACAAAAATATTATAGATAGGTTTTAAAATCAAATATAAAAAAGGGCAAATCGATATTTTACTATATCGATATTTTGATACAGCTTTAAATGGTTTGTTTACCACCCGAGGTTCTCATCTATACAAAGAACAATTATTGCTCTATGGTTTTTGATATTATCGCAATGATCGCATTAATTCGTTCAGTTTGTCCCTGCGTCTGGTAGGGACTAGAACTAAGGTGTGTCGACCCGAGCGCCAAATTGCACTCGGATCGCCGTCGTCACGTGTTCGAAGTATCGAAGGAACTAGGACAGCCGCGAGTGAAATATGTAAGTTATTTGATATAAGTAGATTGATATAAGTTTACAGTGTTTTTAAAAATTGTGGTGGTGAAATAGTTCTTGTAAAATACTTGGTAAAATACTTTTTTACCAAATATTTTAATATTTTTAAAAATAATAATAATCGAGAAGTCGGTTAAGTACTTTACTACTCATAATATATGTATTTAGCAAGGTCGTCGCCAAGTACAAAAGTACAGAAATTATTGTTGTGATTTATAAAATGTGGTATTTACCTTTGTTGTCATATGGCTATCCAAATGCCGCTTTGTTTTCAAGAGTGTCGGACATGGTGGTGTGCTAAATGGCATCTACCTTCATTTACAAGTGCCAAGTTTTGTGAATGCTAATAAATACTCTTTGAATATATACAAAAATGACATCAGTTTTAGTAATATAATCCAAAAAGTTTATTAAGTAAATTGAGTTTTGTTAGTGGAAGTGCTGGCTCATTATAAGTTGCATTATGGAGGAAAAATGGATGGCTGCTTTCGGTAAGTGATAGGTTTTATATGCATGTGATTATGTAAACATAATTTGCGCATTATGTATATGTATATATATATATATATATATATATATATATATATCCACAGTACTGCCTACCCGCCTATAAGGTTGTACTCTGGCAACGCGGTCTCCATACTTTGCCGATCTGAAATTACAGCACCTCTCTTATGATAACACCGTCTCATACGACATTGTTTTTGTTTTTTGTCATATCCTGATACAATTTCCATTTAATTAGTATTTTTGTATTTTCTGGTCTTCATATAAATCGGTACAAATGTTGTGATTTGTGCAAATTCTGGGTTTCTTATAGTACGGTTCTCATATACAATGCCATAGGAGGTTTCTTTAGAATACACTACAATTTTGCCCAAATGGTATGTTAAATCCGAGATATTTATAGTACGGTTTCCATATTACACGGTATATATATATATATATATATATATATATATATATATCCACAGTACTGCCTACCCGCCTATAAGGTTGTACTCTGGCAACGCGGTCTCCATACTTTGCCGATCTGAAATTACAGCACCTCTCCTATGATAACATCGTCTCATACGACATTGTTTTTGTTTTTATCATATCCTGATACAATTTCCATTTAATTAGTATTTTTGTATTTTCTGGTCTTCATATAAAGCGGTACAAATGTTGTGATTTGTGCAAATTCTGGGTTTCTAATAGTACGGTTCTCATATACAATGCCATAGGAGGTTCCTTTAGAATACACTACAATTTTGCCCAAATGGTATGTTAAATCCGAGATATTTATAGTACGGTTTCCATATTACACGGTATATATATATATATATATATATATATATATATATATATATATCCACGGATTTTTAAACAAAGTTTTTATCATTTTATTTTTATGAAATATTGAAAGATATCTATCCAAGGATTTCTAAACAAAGTTTTCGCTTGTTATATATATATATATATATATATATATATATATAATGACTCCCTAAACCGATTTTAAATTCAATTTTCCCATCGTGTGCATTTATATCCAAATTAGTCTTCAATGAATACGGATAGTATGCATCTGAAATATTAGTCAAAGTATTACATTATTGGCAATTTTTAATGAATTTTGGAATTCATAAGTATTATTTAATATTCTATTCTATTTAGAGTTCTTTATTGAATATATCATTTTGATGTTAATTCTGTTTGGTATTGTGGGATTGGAACTTTTTGCTACGGAGTCCATTCAATTGAAGAAATATCTATAAAATAATGTTATCAATACAAGCGAATCAAATTCTGCCCTTACATAATCAATATTTACATATCCTATAGTTAAATATATAGCAATCAAAAGGTATTGAGGTTTTACTAGTTGTTCCGATAAAAGTGTAACTCAGGTATTGGATACCTGATTATATTAATTTTAAAATGTTCTTTGAAGATTCGTTAAAACAAAATATTTAATAAAACGAGTATATAATATACAAATTTATTTTTATAAAAAATCTTTATACAAAATAAGTTAGTATACATCTATAAAGTAGTATGGTACCAAGCGGTGAACGGTTAGCCTTTTTATATAAAATAATTGATATAAATTTTTAAAATGGACACATTAAAAGGGTTTTAATATATATATCGGCTAATTTATCGATTCCAAAATGGTAAATCAATTTTCACTTATTAAAGTTTTAGCTTCTAATAACTTTAGGATAGTACCTACTTCAATCAACGTTTCTTGGTTCTACAATTTTTTATTGTAATTTTTTTTATTGATGATCAAAATAAGAAAATACAATGTTATTTTCAAATTTATGATTCACTTTTCGCTAAGTTATAAAAAAAATGAAGTTTTTCTCATGTTATTTCCATAAAAACTTTGATCGGAATGTGGACTATCTTAACTAAAACTTTCAGAGAATTGTTTTTTATCAATTTGGAAACATTTGAACCCCTGGGAGCATGGAAATTGAAAAACATCCATATTAAGGATCATCCTAATGGATATATATTCATAAATGTATATAAACATTTATTAATAAAATATTGCACTTAAATTGATATCATTTTTAATAAACCTAATTAATGCCAATGTCTGTCATCATCATCATCATTTTGTCGCTTTTTGAAACAACCATCTTTATTGCACTTCATTTATTGCACTTTTGATTAGAATTACTTAAATTATTGCACATAGTCCATATTCTATAATAAAATCATGGTAAATACCCTAAAGAATCTTCTAAACTACCACTAGCAGCCCTGTTTCTCCTCAAATGACTTGCATTGGGTTGGGAAATAAAATATTTATCTTGGAACCTTTTTCCATCTATCCTATCATTCAATTTTGATTGAATTGTGTATAAACCATTTTTTGCACTAAACATTCCATTTGGTTTCCCAGGATTTAAATGAGTAACATCTGTTGTTTGGTTGAGTTTCACATCAGCAAACAGTGCAGCCATCTCTGCACTCTTCTTAA